TACGTTTTTACTTGTTGGTGGCTTTTGTTTGGGCAGAAAGGAATTAACTCTCCTTCTCACCTCATCTCATTGAACTAGTCCAGATGAAACAGTGGTTTGTGTGACTGCAAAAGAAGGAGAAGGCAGTGATGTCTACTAAAATAATGCGGTTTGAGTAGGTGGTCTAATCTCTTGTCCTACCAAATGCATAGGAATGAGATTAGATTAATTGAAATGTGTACTTTACCAGTTTCAATTTCAGGTGAGAGTAGCTATTATGGCACAAAAGTTATAAAGCTTGAATATTTTCACTGTCATTTTTATTTGGACGCACTCAGCAGTCGGTGTCTCTTACGTCAATGGTTTACGTCTGAATTTGTAGTCACCAAACTATAATATTTACATGGTAATGAATGTTTTCATTTTTGATGCACATTTAAAATTGTCAGTTGTCATGACCTGATTAAAATGACTACATGGTTTCCATCTACTGGAAAGAGCAATTGATTTGACAATGCCTACAACATCAATCCTTATCAAGTAGGACAGAATCATGCTCATACAGTAGGACAGAACAATTAAAAATGTCATATTTGGGTGCAATTTTTGGAGCATTTGGGGTAGTTATTCCAGTAAAATAGATGTGGTTTACGAGGGGAATAAAGTTATTCCGTGTTTTCTGTTGTTGTTGCATTGACCTTTTTCTGCTCCTTCTCCAATATCCAACATGATAGTTTCTCAGAGGAAGAGATAAGCCGTAGGAGCGACTTCCTCTGCCGCTCCCTTTTCCACATCAGAAACCTGCAGGATTACGAGGGAGTGACTTAGCCAAATCTGATTCACAGATATTTGATTTTTAATTTACTTAATGTTGGTGAAGGTGCCAAGCTGTGAGCTTTGGGAACTAAAACACCCTGTGCCTGTAACCAGACCTGGTGCTCGCTGGCATCATGGGGATCAATGTATTGCAGGACCTATATTGTGAAAAGCCAGGGACTGAGCAGATTTCAAGGCTGTGCTGGCAGGAAATTAGCTGTAGCTTAGGGTCTAGTATATTGTGTTGTGGGGGAGGAGGAGGAGGAGGAAGAGGAAATGAAGAAGGATGTTTAAGGCGACCTTTAGATAACAGCCTTGCCGAGTTGCCCAGTTTTTGGCAGGGATGGCTGTGCTCTCTCTTAAGGATGTGTCCATTCGCTAGTTTATGGGTACAGAATCTCCACCAAATTATGCAGGTGCCTTTCTGTGAATATATTGTTTTAATTTGACAGTAGGCTTTAAGGGGTTGGGGAGAGATGGATTTACACTTGAGTGGTTTTGGAGGTAAACTATAGATCCTGATGAGTTTTACTTTCCCATCATTTTGAGCCTATCAAGACTTTTGTTTGTAAATAAGTAAAGTAAGTCAGGGGAGAAAAACAGGCTTGATTTAATCAGGAGCAAGTACATTGTCCTCAGATCATGCAGGAAAAAGGTAAATCAGCTTGGTAATGGAGCAGTCCATTTATGCACGTAGGTGTGCTATACCGTGGGAAAGTTAAGTGTCCGGGCACCAAACCCATCGGCACTCCTTCACCAAATTTTGTTCAGGGTGTGAAAATTTAAAGAGGCTTTCTTGTTTCCAAAACGGTGTGGAACCATTGAAACAGACCCTGATCATTTGAAAACCTTCTTGTTTCAGAAAAATTCAACTCTAATGATGTTGTGCGGACGGTGGCAGTGATGGGTTTTTTTGTCCTCGCCCTCCGTCACTTGGGGTTTCGTCTGTTTCCCATGGGTGGCTGTACACTGCCATAGGAGTTTCTGAAGAGACGTGTCAGAGACAGGAGAGGGGACAGGAGCTGCCGGGAACCACTGGTAATGTTTTGCGAGAGACTGAAAATGAAGAGCAGAAAAGCCTTAAAGAAGAGATGGCCAAATTTGAGAGCTTTGTTTAAAATTGGCTGTTTATTTTCAGTCAGAGGAGCACTTCAGCAATGCCTGAAGCACTGCAACCCACTCGGTTGGTAATGTAAGGACAAAGCGGGTGCCACAGCAGACTCTGTTAAAGGGAGGTGGGTATCAGCCCAGGCAGAAGTAAAGGGAGAGAAACTATGTGCTGAGAAAATGTCGCCCTGAATCTATGGACTAAATGCTGGGTAGAGCTGTACCTGCAGCTTGGTTGAGCTGCAGCTCTAGGCTCCTACACCAAGGGAAAGATGTTTTTACTGTAAAGCCACCCTGTGTTATAATATCTTAAAATTGGAATCCTTTGTTTGACTCGCCGCCTGTTTGAGTTGTGAATCACTGTTTCTTCTGGTCGTTAGTGAAACAAAACTTAATTTGGCCTGGGCACTGTAGAGATGAAACATGATTGGTAATGCTGTATACATTCACTTCAGACGACTTTATAAACCCCAGATGAAATCATTTTGCTTCGTTCCAGCCAAGGCAGAGCGTGGCATGTGCTCTGTAACGAGAGTCAGCCTCGCTAGTTGTTGGATGAGGCCCTGCATAACCCTCATCTGAAAGAATACGATTTCATGAGAGCACGTAAACTGTGGATTTTGAGCTGTTCATTTGCTTAGCTCATTAATTCATTAATTGTTTCTTTTTTGTGCTCACAGTAGAGAGTTTTAGAAAGTTCTTCCTCACTAAAAATCCCATTATTGCTAGGTGATGACTTCTCTGATCTCTCATCCTCTAAGAAGAGAGATGTCTAATGAATTCTCAAACTTGAACTGAAACCATATAAATATTTAACCTTAAAAAAGACATTTTTCCTTTCAGCTATTAGCAAACTCAGGTATTCACCAAACTGAATTGAAGATTGAATTTTCAATTACATAGAAACCCTTCCCTCTCAGCTGTTCTCACCTTAATGTTTGTCACATTGATTAAGTGGTAGCCATCATCTTATGAGATAGAAAGGATGGGTTTTTTGGTGATCTTACCAATTATTTTAACCATAAAGCAGCAATGTTAGAGACACAGGAAATCCAATTATACCTTTTCCTTTCTTTTAAAGCAACACTTTCTTCTGTCTTTTAATTCCAAGTTGTCCATATTTTAGTTTTCTCTTCGATGATATAATTATACTTTTGTTACAGAACAGTGTGAAATGTTGAGAGTCACTAGTTTTCTGTGTCAAGCTGAACATGTCCTGAAAAGTTAAATTTTTGGTTCTTTTCTGGGGAGCTCTGGGCTTGAAGTGCAGTATTCTTAATAGAGATTACACAAGCGATATGCCAAGACAGCAACGTAGCGGCAGTTTTAACAGGATTTCTGTCCTAGTCCTTCACGTTTCGCAGGCAGGCAAAAGGCAGAGAGCCAGTCGACAAGTGGGAGAACCACTGTTAACTCTTGCCGGGGCCAGCTGCCGGTCGGCCGCAGCCCTGCAGGGGGTCCGCAGGCAGCCCCCCAGCCCCACTCCTGGCAAGGAAGGCGCCTGGGGTGCTACGCAGGCTTCGAGTTTGGAGGGTGCGAGGCAAGCTGGAAGGAATGAGGGAAGAAGTCTCTCCGTGGGGTGGAAGACCCAGTGGGGTGAAAAGGACGGTAAATGTTTCATGTCAACAAAATTACCTGTTGAGCGTGAAACTTGGGTTGAGAAGCTCTCTGCTGTCCAGGCTGGTACCCACCAGCTGCTCTGGAGAACTGCAGTCCTGTGGTGCTGGAGAGGGCAGATGTGGTGGGTGAGTCCCCCCAGGAGGTATGGCGCTCTGAGGGTCTCCTTCTTCATCCTTGGAGAGCAGCACCGTTTTTGGGGAACTGTGGTCTGCATGCTCTCGGAGGAGGCTGTCAGAGTGAAGCCCGCCTCTCGCTGTGAGGGGGGGAGAGGTGGCCGACGGGGTGGAGAATCTCTCCTTAGGAGTGAGAAATGACCTCTGCAGAGGAAGAAAAAGCACTGCGAAATGAGACCAGTGCAGGGGGATTCCTGGGGGAGCAGAGGGGAGGGACCCGGTGGGAGAGCACCTTGGGGGGAGGAGGTGAGGGCGAAGCTAGAGGTGATGGCGAAGGAGCCTCCCTCTGCGGGGATTAGCAGCCAGCACCCTTCTCCCAGGGCTGCCCTCCCAGGAGAATAACGTGAAAAAGCACGGCACGAAAAGTCTGTGCAACAGAGACCTAAAACATTGCGGCTGTGACGACTGCTCTTAATTAAATAGGTGGCTCGTCTCTAGACAGCCCCAGACATCTGTCTCCATTCTTCACTTGTTTTTCTGCCGCGTTTCTATTTGCTTGTCCAGAGTTAAAGCCCAGAGGACCTACAGATGGTCACCATTAATTTTGTCACTTGATGCAACTTTTTTTAAAGCTTTTCTGTCGACCTTTTAAAAACAGATGTGTGTATAAAAAAAAAAAAAAATCTTTTAATAGAGCAACTCACTAGAGATCTTCTATTTGGATTTAGATTTAATTTTAGTCTTTAGTGTCTGGGATTTAATTTTGGCATTTCTTTTAAGCCAAGTCTCTCTTATAGCTATATCACTTTTTTGGTTGTTCTTTTTTGTTGGGGTTTTTTTTTTTTTTAATAAACTTTAAAGAATCTCTTTGCATTCCTAGTCTTGCTTCTTTGGAACCTCAGAAATCATTGCATGCCAAAACATTTTTTGTGTTTTGGATCGCATACCTGTTTTTGCATAGGTTTCTTCATGATTGCAGGATGCTGGTGGTGCGTGGGCTGAAACTGGGCTATGGGCTTTCAAAAATAAAATCTTCAGCAGAAAAGTCCAACCTTGTTAATGATTTCTTAAGGAAGCCACAGGATCGCAGACAAAACTCAGGAGCTGTGACTAGTAACTGCCTGCACAGAGTCAGGATCATAGATAACAGCTGATTATCAAATCAAATTATATGGACTTTTAAATTGATAAAACAACTGCAGACAGTTTTTTTCACAGTCTCCACATTAAACATGGAGTGCCCTTTCCAAATATCTTTTAACACATTTCTTTTTGAGTTGTATCCGGAAATGTTACCGTAAGAAAAACGTTCTCAGAATACGCTTCTTAAAACAACATTTTTTTTCTTTTGTTACTTTATTTGCAGGTCAAAATTTATATGGTTCACTCAAATTAGCGTTGTTTTAACCATCCTGTAGAAGACGAATATGATGCCGAACAGAAGCAATCTCTCCTCCTTTCAGAATGTTGGATCAGGTAATCAATTAACAAAAATGAAGTTTGTTTGTAAAGGTACTGAGATCTTTCAGAATTTATTACTGATTTTGGTCCTTTAATTCTCCTGACACATGGATAGGGTCAGCACTCTGTTCTTATTCCATGTCTAACTCCATTTACCAGCCAAAATAAGGCCACAGCTGGATATGCTGCAGACAGCCAACCCTCCCCCATCAGCTTAATGCCTGGCTGGAATAGTTATCAGTGACCCCCTAGCTAAACAACTCGGGAAAGGAAGAAAAGGAATGAGGGGGAAAAAAAAGAAAATAAAAAAAAATGGAAGAATTTCCTTCTGTATAGCTCCAGGCAGCAAATACTTTGCTAAACAGAGAAGCCTTGCACCACGCACCGAAGGTTACCGAGCGAAAGCTGGGGCTGACCTGGGTGCAGGATGGGTTCAGGGCACGCCACGTGCCGGAGCTCCCGGCCTCGATCCCTATAGCTGCATGCGAAGGCAGCGTCAGCCAGGATGTGTAACGCGTCCTGGCATATTCATAAAGTCTCATCCCAAACATTACACTAAAAATAAACAAAACAAACAAGATCTGGTTTGTGGGAGGCAGCTATGGTTCAGCTAAACATGTGCTGTCGTCCAGTTGGGACTTAACCGTATGATTGCGGGCACTGTGGTGCTGGGACCAAAAACGCAGAAGAACTGGCATAAGGTATAGTAGAGAAAAGTTGAATCCGAGTGGCTACACAAAGGTATCGTGACCTTTTCTTACTGTACTTGTTTGGATTTCAAGTACAATGAATCCTTCATTGCTGTGGTGAACAGGCCTGAAAGTTTCCATGAACTAACTTGTTTTCTGGCAAAGGCATCCAGTCTTTGTACGATTAAATGTGCCCTACTGTGTTGCAAGGGAGTAATAAACAATTATTAATGTCCCATTAATGTGTCTGCTAAGCTATTTATATAGGAGCCAGTGGAATTTATGCAAAAACATTTGAACTTCAGCTGTGTTCAAGTTATGATTTGGACAGTACAATTTTGGTATGAGATTAGCTTTCAATTTTAAGAGAGATTTAGAAGAGGGAAGGAGAAAGAGAGACGAAGATGGAAATTAGGTTTCATTCCACAATGGAAGGCTAAGTATACAAGGCATATACACTTTGCTTTATATCTGTGCTCTTAAATAGCTTTGACATCTTGTTCTTCTTTCTTATAACACCACTAATATGATGAATGTTTGATCTTTTCCAGATGATTTTGTTTTGTCCTGATAAGAGTTCTGTTGAACATGGGTCACGTTCCTCCTTTTGTTCATTTGAACTTCATCACTGCTGTTGATCAAAAGTTGTGAAAATAGCTAAAAAATGTCAAGTAAAATGTCAAATTATAAGAAACTGCAGTTTCGCTGCTCACAGCGGTGATGGTCTGACAGAGAGCTCTGTGAACTTACTGGTTCAAAGGCAACTTCGATAGTTGTATCATCATAACAAATGTGTTGAAATTACAGCAAATAAAATCACAGTCAGCACAAAAATATTAAAATCTGTGTAGTGGTAAACCTGAGGCTTGGTTTTGAAGCTGCAAGTTAATGTTTTTGGCCACTACCAGAGCTTGTAATTAACACATGCTTAGCCAGGTCCCCTATGCTCAAGAAGGTGTTCGATTTCCATCCTCCCCTCCCCCCCCCCGCCATAATGCTGACTCCTTTTATCTTCTGCCTATTCAATTACATTATTAATGATGGTTGCCTTTGTTTTTAAACTCATGGGTTTGTTCCTTAAGAATTGAGAAGAATGTGTTGTTACACGCTTAGACTTACCACAGTTTGCGTAGAGGAAGCCTGTGCAACAGAGCTCTATTGAATGATGCCCTGGACAGTAATGAATTCCAGGGGGTTTTGCCTTGTTAGCAAGGAAGGTCCCAGAAATGAGGACCCGCTCAAAGAATGCATTGCTAGATATCTGAACCTAGTGATCCTCAACAAAACCGGATCATATCAGCTCTGGTGGGGGGTGGGAATCCAAGTTTTGTGTCTAGGTTCATATAATTATCTGAAGTGGTACTTGGAAGAGGATTAAAGTATTGCCTCCGAGGATTTTAAAGGCACTTTACACATTTGGATGTTAGGTTTTGCTGCTAAGTGACAAGCTGAGATTAGGTTTCTCACGAGGTGGCTGAAGTCACAGGTGAAATGTGACTAAGCCAAGAGTAAATCCCAGATTTGACCCTTATTTTCAGAAGCAACACTCGCTTGCACTGCAGGAACTGACACTGAAGAGTGCTTTATTAGTTCGAAGCACAGCCTAGCACAACTAAGGAGCTGCTGTAAATGTTAATGGTGCCATTTCTACATCAGCTGAGGTCTAAGTGCAAGCCTGCTGGGGGGTCCTGTGTATCTCCTGCAGTGACTGACACTGTCAGGAGCTGAATTCCTTTCTTTGCTTTTGGCAAAGTGGGGCTCAGAACTGTAGGCTGGAGCTTGACACATCGTTAAACAATAACACCCACCACAGCAAAGGCTTTTTTGGTCAGTGTCCTCTTCCAGAATATAAATTATAATTCTGAACAAGCATTAGGACCTGGAACATTAAACCCCTGTCAGTGTTTTTAATGGTCATGTGATGTTGTTGTTGTTGTTTTGAATGAAGTCACGGAGCCTAGCATTATACTTCCTTAAGGCTATCTTTTAACTAAAGTGCTCTTTGCAGATGTAGTTAGAGCTTTGTATTTTAAGAGCACTGAGCTGAAACACCTTGAAAAACAGGCCTCCGTTTTGTACTTTTCCATGAAGCTTTGCATGACAATCAACAGAGTAAGCAGAAAGGTGACAAACTCCTACTGAGCTTTGAATTGAGCTCATTAGTATATTGGAGCTCAGATGGCTAGCTGCACAGGTTAAAAGAAAAGGTGGTCCAGAGCAGTATCTTATGTTCCGTATCCTGAGCCCTGGGAGACCTGTGTTCAGTTCTTTATTCTGCTGTCTGCTTTGCATCTTCTCCTTGCACCTCAGTTCCTCAGCTGTAAAACATCAGGACAGCAATGCTTCCTTACTTCATGGACATCTTAGGAGGCTCAGGATTGTAAAGGCTGATCCACAGACTCCTGCAATGGATAGGACACCAAAGAAAGAGTCTAGCCTCTTTCCACCTGTGTTGCTGATTTTGTGGTATGAATTTGGTGATGTCCCTCTACCCCTTCTTTTTTAGTGTCCATCTTTTGCAAAAACAGATATGGGAAAGTTGTGCATCCCCTCCTTTGCTTAATGATCTGAGTCACGTTTATTACAAGCACAGTAATTATTGCAAAAAGTGTTCTTTTCAAGTTAATATGCAGGCATGCACATGCAAGAGGCTACTTACTTTGCTAAAAACCTTTTTTTCTTGTTTTCTCTTCCTTACAGATTCCAGTAAGATTATGGCAGAGTATAGCCACACACAAAACCAGATGGAATTACAAAATGCTAGTTTGGGAAAGGGTTCTGTGGCAAATTCCCTTGAAAATGGTCTCCAGGATATTATGGAAAACCTCAACCCGAAAAAATATTCATCAAGTCTCAAATTTAAAACAAACGGGGACTATGCTGGCTCGTATTTAACCCTTTCACAACCTATGCCAGTTAAACCTAATCCTTCCTCCAGTGTTAAAAATATACACTCTATTACCAAAATTCAAGGAGGCAAGCAGTTCCCCTGTGAAAGCCCATATCTTCCAGATAAAAGCATCTCTGTAAAGCATTTGGGTTCTGTATCGGGCACGTCTCCATCCCTCAGTGGGTACAGTTTAGGAAGGACAGACTTTGATATTCATGCCAGCAGAGAAAATGAAAAATCCCTTGGACAAATGGATAAGTTTCACTACTCAAAGTACAGTCAGAAAAACAAATCATATGACAACGTCTACTTCCCAGGAATGCTGGAGACGAAGAAGATCTCGGGCTCTCTTCTGACCATGTGGAATGGAAGTTCAGGGAATGAGCTGATGTTTTCACCTGCTAGCAATTCGGGGGCGGCCAGCATGCCTTCTAGCCCAAAGCAAGGGAGGAGGATGAATATTGAAGACAGCCTGGCCATTCACATAAAACCAGTTAAGCACAAGGATGTGATGATGGAGACTCTGGGTTCACGGCCTAGGAAATACTCTACTGGATCTCTAAGTCATATGGGAATGTACAGTCGTTCCCTACCCAGACTTTATAAATCAACAGAAAGCCAGCTGGTGCCATTAAGTTTGCCCCCCAGAAGCTCTCTGGGTAATACTAAAAGGAAAAAACTCGGAGAAAAAGATCTACCTCAGAATGCTTTAGATGCTGATAATTACCTGAATTTTTCTTCTTGCAGCTCAGGGGTTTCACCACATGCAAACTCTGTCTCTGGGAATAATCCCTACGTCAGTTCAACTCTTAGTGTTCCTGCAAGCCCTCGAATTGCGAAAAAAATGCTTTTAGCACCCTCTTCCCCATATCTTTCTGATGATTTTGATAGACTTGGACTCTCAGGAACAAGTCCCAGTAGTTCTTTCTCCCCACTGGATTTTGACAGGTCGTTCTCTGTCCGAAGAAATCTTTCCACCAGTTCCATGGAACTTGACGACCCAGATCTGGAAAGTTACAGGCAGACGCCAAACTCACTGCAAACGTCCATGCGAGAGCGGAAGAACAGCATTAGCTCCATTTCGGGAAGAGAAGACCTCATGGACTATCACAGGAGGCAGAGGGAAGAGAGGCTT